TAAAAAAAAATCGTGCCTATGTATTTTTAAAATTTTTCAACTGATATTGTAACAATATATAAGAAAGCTTGTATTAAATTTTCAGACTTTTTGGCACACCAAATATTATTGACAATTATAAAAAAAAAAACTAAAAAAATTGAAAACTGAAAATGTCCGTAAACAGCTCAAAAAGAGTCAAAATATTTTCAAAATTGTATGGTGTATAGGAAATGCTAATATAAACATTCAGAGACATTTTCACATATCTATAATTATTCGTTTATGAATTACAACAAAATAAGGAAATCGCTACATGAGAAATCGAGTGAACATCCAATGTTGTAAAAATTTGAATTTCAAACGCTCATAAATATTTAATTTGACTGTCCGGTAGAGATTTTTTTATTGATAAAGGTAGACAAACTTATGAGTAATCTTGTATTACATTTTCAAATCTTAGATTTAAAAAGAAAAATTTTTGCGAATTCTTAACTCAAAATAATTTGCTAATTTTCGTGATTTTTCCATATTTTGTCAATTTTTGAACTTTAAATGCTTATAAAAAAAAACTGTGACAAACGATTTTTAATATTTTTCATCTGCCTTTGAAACAATATACTAGGAGTCTTCTATTAAATTTTCAAGTTTTTTTAACCAACAAATAAAATTTTATTGATATTTCTAGAAAAAAAACTAAAAAAAAATGAAAGATGAAAATGTCCCTAAACAGTTCAAAATAAATCAAAATATTTTGAAAATGTTATCGTGTATAGAAAATGCAATTATAAACAACCAGTGAAAATTTCATGTATATACGTTCATTTGTTTTAGAGTTACACCAATAACCAAAATCGATTTTTTGGAAAACCAATTTTGCGTAAAAATTCCCGTTTTTCCTTATAATTCCGTAATCATTTACGACCAACACATAGATCTCGGGTGGCGACGAGATTAGAAATTGCCTAAATGATTCTCCTTAAATCAATGCCATAGCAAGGCCCCTCAATGAAAGCACCAGTTACTAAAACAATTTATGGATGTTAATATAGGGTTAACCAGTGGGACGGACTTACCTATGGAATTAAACAAAAATAATGTACAGGAAATGATGCTCCTCTCAGACATTACAATACATTATTCAAATGACAAAGTTGTGTTTATTATAAATTAATAATTATACAATGCTATATTTAGTATACCAACTTGAATTAACACTTCAGATAATACCAATACAAATTGTGACCAAGATAATTGTTTATATGTAAATCCTAATCATAAGTATTTAGCTATAAGTAAATCCAAAGAATTGTATTCTACCCAGGGGCGGACTGGCTTCTTTAGAGCGGCCCGGGAATTTTTTTTAAAGTGGCTCAAAAACTATTGTCTAACCTAATTATAACATTTATGTTTAAAATACGACACATTTTTTCCATTGCATATTCAAAATATAAATAATAACAGCAGATATATCATGCGTTTTAGGTAATATATTTAATTTATTGGCTTAAGGAATTAATAATTTATGAAATGTTTTGCTTTTTTAGGCTAAACGGTCTATAACCGTTTGGTGCTGTATGTAAATTAAAATATTTTTTTCTGTAGCCATTAAGACAAAAGCTTCTAGATTATTCCGTGTCATGCTGTTCCGAGAAGACAATTTCATTCATTTTTATAGTATAAAAAACAATTAAAAATTCAATAAATTAATTCATATTTATTTTGTTATTTAAATATGTTGTTGTTGCATACATATTAATATATTATTAATTATAATTTAGTAAAATAGTTCACGACTCACATTGTATTGCCATTTGCGCGCAAACCAAATTTTACAAAATTGTCTAAAATAGTATTATCTTCTATATTTATCTTACCTTTTAAAAGGCGATATCGGGATCGTAAATATTCAAAAAGTACGTGCTTCTTTCCAGTAGTCAATGCAAAATATAAATTAACTATTATTAGTTATTACACTATTACAGACGACAGACTCGTGAACGAAATACGAAAACAGTATATATTATTTTTAAATAATATTATATTGAATTATCGTATACAAACAAATAGTGATACCGCCACTGATACAAACCCAAATGGTTGCCGGATGCGTTATTGGCTATTATTTCTATTTATATAAACTAAAATTATTTTTATAACTGTGTCTTAGAACAACAAAATATAATTTTTGGTATGATTATTATCGTATTATTTATGTTATATTTTATAGATTTTAAATACACCAAACACTGAATACTATATTATTAAAATTTAAAAATCATAATATAAGTTAGTTATTTGTACAATCAAACTGCCCCGCCCGAGACGGCCTATAATCCCATTATTCGACCGGCCCATCGGGAAATTTCCCGATCTCCCGATCTGCCAGTCCGCCCCTGATTCTACCTATGACGAAATCGATAGAAGTCAATGTAAACATGCCAGTGATTTCCTCATGTGTCCTGAAATTATATATCTTTTACATCCCAGAAGTGTAAGCCCCATATGAGGTGCTTCTACTACAAGATTCGAAGGAAGTTCCAGAGAGTTGTGAAATAACACATATACAAACAAATCTATTTCACCAATTAAAGTTCAAAAAAGACTGGATTTAACCTACTCCAGGTGAGACCGTATTCTTAGTATGTGACAAAAGAAGTCAGAATCACTTCTTACTTCTTAGATGGAGTATGAAGATGGAACATAGTCAACCCGTTCGCACGCAGCAAATGTACAACATGGCAAAAACTGTTTTGCAAGAGTATTGTAAGAACCTTTCCGGCTGTGGTCCAAGTAGTTTTAATTTTTTTTCGATATCAGAACTCAAAAAAGTTAGTTAAGTTTGAAAAACTCAAAAATAATGAATTTTGTAATAAGAACGATACCGAAAAAATAAAAACGTTGCAGTTAGTGTTCTCCTCTTTCTAGCGTGAAATTTGGTTGCTTAACATTTGTAAGACAACATATTATGCGGGTGTAGTCCTCTTAATAAAGATACCTATTCTGATTCATGTTTAAATAAAATATTATACAAACCAATATGCAGACTGATATATTGATCAAAAGTTCACCGTGTCAGCCACGATCAATAGCTTAACTGCCTTAACTTATAAACATTATAGGTATCTGACTAAATCTACTCATCTAGTGTTAAAATTAATTTAAAATTATAACATTGTGTATCAGCATTTTGTTTTGAATCTTATTACCTAATGTACTGTGTATAATTATGGGTATCCCAATATATTTACAAATTACAACTTCTAAGTTTAAAACAAGATGATATTTTAACCCACGAAACACTGTTCATTTTATTCATGTGTCTAACCTAACACTAAGTATACTCAAATTCTTAAAAAAATTTACTATTTAAAAGTATTCACTTATAATCTTTCATACTTCATTTATAAATCATTTAGATGACCATTTGGCTTCTAAATGTGATTGCAGTGTTGTTAACATTTCTTATACATAGGAATCCGTTTGATTTCTCGTTCCTTTAGTATAAATAAGAATTCGCTCATTTAATGTTAAAAGGAACTCGTTCAATTCCAAGTTCTTATGAAAAAGGAACTCATTCTTTCCTTTGTTCCTCATGGTTCATGCGTTATCAGTTAATATCATAAACACTAATCAGAATACCGCCATATGTGAATAAAAAATTGGTAGTAGTCTATTATTTTTTTTAAAGATTAAAAAGTAAACACAATTTTTCTCCTCAAATGTTTTTTTAAACTTTTCCGAGAAGAAAAAAAGAATTATAATATTTACGTTTCCATTCCTAACAATAAGGAATTGATTTACGGTCCCCTCTAAAAATGAATCAATTCCAGAAATCGTTTCTTTAGGAACGCTTTCCTTAACAACACTGTAGTGATTGTGATCCAAGTGTATTTAAAAAAGATTAACCTTTACGATAAAATTGTATAACAAATGTAGTTCTAATATTTTAAAAGCTTATGGTATAAAAATAATTGTTTTTCTTTCAAAAACACAATTTGATAAAACAAAAAAAAATCATCAATATTATTGTAAAACAACATACAATAATGTCTGCTTTATATCAAAAGGAAAAAATAAAATTTTAGATGTAAAAAATACTTGTTTTTTTATTAAATTTGTTTTACGTTAAAATGAACATTTTTTTTTTTCACAAACAAAAAAAATTAGAAAAGAATAGGAATATTATTAAAACAAAATGGAGGGCGGTGGTATAAATCATAATATATTATACTGACATCATAAAATCTTCATTGTAATTCCTATTGTCAAGGAAGCCCTACTAAAACTGATAGCCTATTTTTAGTCTTATCAAAATTACATAAATGGGCATTGTACTTAAGCATTGTTGCTGGAATTCAGCACTTATGTACATCATATAAAATATACAACTAAATTACAAGGTTTAGCATTATTTAAAAAAAAAAAAAAAAAAATTATAATAATAATAATAATAATAATAATTTAAGGAGATAGTTGAAAATAGTTTAGATTAGGTAGAAAATAACCTAATCTATGTATTTATATATAAAACAGAATGATTAAAAAAAGTTATTAATTGAATTTGTATAAATTTTTTTTTTTTAATTCATTCTGTTTTAAAATATATTATATTTTTACAAAAAAAATAATTATGATTTTAATTTAGGTGAAGAATAAATGACTTATTTTAAATTAAAACAATACTTATAGTATTTGTGAACTGAAAAAAGATATTTAAAACAATGTTAAAAAGTTTGCTTGACTAGGTTGCGATTCAATACATGACATATGATTTATATTTTATGGACAAGTCAATACTTTGAAGTATAACACTATAAAAATGGATACATAGTAATAGGAAGTAGATTCATAAATGCAGAGGAAATACAATTTGAAGCTACCTAGAAAAAAAACAGTATAAAATTGTAGTCTCTTAAATTCTGAACAGCGTCTTTATTAGGGATTTTTCTGGTCATTTTGAGTATTTATTGAAGTTCTTTTTTTTTAAATATACTTAATTTTTATTATTATTATTACTATTAATTTTGACGCCTAAAGTTGTTGTTTCTAGGTCCATCATTCTGGTTCCTATTGAAACCTCCACGGCTGTTGCCGGCACGCATACCACCACGACCTAAACCACCACCACCACCACTACCACCGCCGCCGCCGCCACCATCTGAATTCACCATTGAACTTCTGGACTTGTTTTTCTTTTCTTCAACATTCAACTTGATGCCATTTTCACCAGGAAGCATGATAGGCTAAATAAAAAAATAAAAAATATTTCAATCATTTAATTCTTTTTCAAAATTATCCACCATTTAACTTCAGAAAATAAGTTATAATATAGTAATTAAATAATTTAAGTATTAAAAGATGTCTAAGACAGTGTCACAACTACAAGCATTTCAAATTTACGTAAGAGGTCACCATTTCATTCTTAACACAGAATATAATAAAACAATAAAGCTTACATTCAATAAAATACTTAAGCTAACACTAAAAAGGTGGGAGCAGGAAAGGAATAATACCTATTATTATATTAGTAAAAATGTTAAGAGGCGAGCTACAGTTTGGCAATCCCAGTATTAAGGTTTGAATAAATAATATGTTACTGTTATCCACGATTAAAGATATACAGGTTGCACATCGCCCTATAGTAAACCGCTTCCAGACTGATTTACAAAGTGACTATAAAAATCAGCTGTTAATAATTAACTAGTGGCGCTTAATGTCAACACTCAACCATATGTGTCGACATTTAGAACTAATTTTACACCTATATATCTATAATCGGTTAATTGTAATACTGCCGCTTGGAGTGCCACTGGTTAATTATTGGTAGTAATTTCGTATTTCACCTTATCAGTAGTCGATGTGCAACCTGTATATCTTTAATCGTGCTGTTATCTAATATCAATGTGAATTTATAAAAGTGGTTTAAACAATTTTTTTTGTTTTCATATAGGGTGATTTTTTTTAATTAAGACTACTTATTATTTCAACAAATATCAATGTTGTTCATATTTTCAAGCAAAATATTTTCTAAGTTATACTTTTTTTATGGCTAACTGTATAAGTTGGTAAGTACAATTTCTACTAATTTTATCAAATACATTTAAATAAACATCACTTAAGACAAAATGTAGGAAAAATAAATACAATCTCCCGACTCTACATAGGGGGAAACCCGCCTAACCATCAGTACTATAGGCATCGACAGCGCTCCCAGTGTTAATTTGTTTTGCCAATGGAGGGTTATAAAATAGAAAGACCGTTATGACAGATTTGAGTGTAACCATTGCTAACAGCTGTTCCTACAGGCTTATAGTAGTTAAATTGTTACAATATTGAATTTAATGAGTCAAAATTAATTTTTAATTAATGGCCCCTGGCCATTTGGGTCACCAGAAATCACGGACTAAGATATATAGTTGTATCTTAGTTTGTGCCAGAAACCAACTAATTTTAAGAGGACACCACATCTACATAAGTTGTCCCCATATTATATTATGTGCGTAAGATACCAAATCTACACTCAGGAAATCACATTTAGCTCTGTTAGTTAAAAAATTAGAGTGTATCGACCTATTATCAAACTTGGTGATAAGAACATTGGTTGGTTATTTTACGGTAGTTCAATTTTTTAGCAAGTATGCTTATATAACATGGCATAAATCAAAAATGTTCATAACTGAGTAATAAAAACTGAATAATAGTATAAAACCAACACTAACAATAACACAGATAATGTTCTTACCATCAGGTTTTATAATATGAAGTGACACCAATAAAATTTTTTTTTTTCACAAAAGAGCTTGAATTTAATGACAATAGCAACATATTATAATTTTACTAAGCCTTCCAAGCCAAAAGGTAGTAAACAACAATGTAGTAGTTTTGAGAAAAATAACTTTTTCTGAATCATCTTGTTATTTTTATCATATTATCAAAATAAAATAATAAATGGTGTCAGACATTAATATTATTGTTTACAGAAGGAAAATGCAGTATGAGCACATTTATTAGTAGCATAATCATGGTCGATGGGCGACAGCGTATGTTTATAAATTATTATAATCTATGATAATATAATATTGTGTGATACGGCTAGAAAATTATCAACAATACTCAACAAAAAAATACCGTATTTGAGCCAATACTTAGCAAAATTACCGTATACTGTGGTCAGTTACTGCCTTTTTGCTTAGTATCATTCATATATTTGTAAATACATATATGTTTAACTACATTTCTTATAAAATCTATTGCATTTACGGTATTTTTGCTAAGGAATCAAAAAATTTGCCTTAAAATAAAAAATACTTTTATATAATAAACTCATTTTTCAAATTTTGTCACCTACTACTGCCTTTTGGCAGTATAAACATATGTAATTATATTCATTTTTATACTTAATAAATTTTAAACTTACTCGACTCTTTAATACTTTATGTGCCGTATCTATACTTTCAAAAATGACAAAACCAAAGTTGCCATTCATAGACGGATCACCAGTTTTGCTGCCACCCTTCATTATCCGTACATCCAACAAATTACCAAACTTCTCGAATAAGTTCTAAAATTATTATTATTATTAAAACATGATATTAATGAATTATATTTAAGTAGATGTACATACACGTAAATCACTTTCTTGAACCTCAGGAGGGATTTTTCCAATAAACAATTGTTGTTCATCAGATTGGAACATACCATTGTAAGACCCTGATTGGTTACCTCTGTTAATCCTCGGGTCGTTACCAGGACCACTGTTGTATCCTATATAAAATGAACAATAATAATACAATTAATGTTAAGAAAACGCCAAATTAGTGTGACATGTTGTCTCCTTCTTAAAAACGTATACATAGCACATAATATAGCAAATTTGGATTTAGAAGAAATGAATGTTGTATTGTTAGCTCAGGGATGGCCAACCCGCGGCCCGCGACATTTATCAAATATTTACAATGCATTTATAATAGATTATTATAATGTTAATATCACAAAAGAAAATTTTCCTAATTTGAGAAATCTGGCACAAAAAGTTGTGAGTGCTTTTGGATCGACTTACACTTATGAATCGTTTTTTTCGAAAATGAAATTCGCCAAAGATAAATCACGCTCAAACCTAACAGATGAAAACCTGCAATATCGATTACTACAGTGTGCGAATACAAGCATTTCTATTGATTTAAAAAAGCTTAGTGAATGAGTTGAGAAACAAATATCTCACTAAATAGTAATGTTTACTCCATCTTTTTGTATTAAATACTTTTATATATTTCAATTTTTTTTTAAATACGTTTATAATTTTATATGTGGCCCGCAGGATTGTAATGTATTTAAAAAGTGGCCCAGATCATTTGGGTTGGCCATCCCTGTGTTGGCTTTTATATTATTGCATTGGCATATTATTAAACTTAAAGGTAAGAATATAATCTAGGGCACTATAGGCTTTAATTTTTAAAAGATCTTAATACTGTTGTTACCGATCTTTAAGTCCGTTATATCATGAATAAATAAATACACTTTCAAATTTAAATATCAATAGAACCTAAAAAATGGTGCTCTTGATTATATTCTAGCCTTCACATTTGGTAGTAAGTCAATTTACTAATATTGAAGCTAACAACAAAACTTCCGTGATATAATTAACAAAAAATTAAAATGCATAATAATAATAAAAAAAAAAAATACAAACCATTTTCGCGATTGTTAAAAGAATTTCTGCTAGGTCTATCATTCAAATTTCTTCCACCAACTCCACCACCACCTCTACCATTATAGTTGTTTCTCACATTTCTATTAACATTGCCTCTCTGCTCATACTGGTTATTAGGAAAGGCATTGCTTGAATAATCATTATTTCGAACCTAATTGGAAAGAGAATGTATTTAATTGTGGAAAATTATATATAAATTTAAAATTTAAAAAAAAAAATATACCGGTGAAGTTGCTTTAGGTAAAGGTGATGAGTAATTTTGTGTCTGTACAGAAACTGGTGGAGGGGCTTCAGCATGAGTCTCTGTTGATCGTCCACCTGACTTAAAGAGCTGTGCATATAATGGTTTTGGTTGATCTCCAGGTGAAACAGCTAAAAATTAATAAAACATTTTATAATTTTAAACAATTATTTAATACTAGCTGTAAAACTAGACTTGGCATGGGCAAAAAAAAATGAGCAAATATACAATACAGCGCTAAATAGGTGTTTCTCAGTGTTTATGTACCTCAGTTCACAGGCAAATCAGTGTTAGAGTACTAGGTTTTGTGAAAAAATACCGCAAGATTGTCACAGATTGGATTTGGCACTTGGTATGTTTATTAACATTTATAACTATTTTCTAAATTACTTTTCTGGTATCTCTGAGATTTTTTTCAAAATCTTAACAGTTTTTAAGTAAATACGCTACAAACAAACATCTACTTTAAGATATAGTTTCTTTAATCGAGGCCATGTAAATGCCAAAATTCATAAACAATATACCATCGACAATCTCAAAAGTTCTCGTGTAAATTTTGCAAAATCCTTTCTTAGTAGGTCTCTAAATCATAAAATGAAACTAACCAAATATCATACTCATAGCTTCAGCAATTCTGGGCTGGGTGATGATGAATCAGTCACGACAAGTTCTTATTTATATATGTATGATAATATAAGTCAGAGCATATTTTTTATTTTAAAATAAAATTATCAAAAGGTTAGAAGTTAACATCAACCAATAAATCATATAAATATATTAATAGATTTATTCTACTTCTATTTAAGTATACAAGTAATTTTATAGTTAACTGTAAATTATAGTTTGTCAATAATAGATTTTTTTTTATGACTACATACATTCAAGATTTATAGACTTTCAGTCATTATTATTTGTTTGATAAATTATTAATTTAAACTCTTGAATAGAGCAATAAACTGATAATTTAGATGAATTTACACAATATTCTACCATTTGTACCATAGACAATTTCTTTTAGTTTTATGTAACAACTCTAATTCTTGTGTCAGCTAATTATGAATAAATAAAAAAAATTAAATAAAATCCAATAAAATTAAATTTTTTTTTGTAAATAATATATCTATTGAATAACTTATTGGTTATAGCGAATACCAAAGATTTTTAGGTATCACAATTCGTATATCATTTAGGTCTTATGTAGAAATGCATCTTCTATTTTTGTTACATTGGATTTCTACGGACAGACCCACAAAATAAAACATATTTGACAGAATATACCATTCTCACAATATTCAATTCACTGCCAAATGTGTAAGTGTAATGTGTATGTCTAACCTCGAGGTCAAAGATAAGACTGCATGTACACTATTAGGTGTAATCAAAAATAATATTAAGGTAGGCATGACCATATATTCTGATTGTTAGCATGGTTATAGAACAGAAGAATTCAAAAGGCTGGTTTCAATCACCTAACAGTTAACTACACACAACTTTGTGGTTCTGACAACAGGTGCTCAGTGCTCACACACAGAATATAACGGTTGTGGATCAGCTAAATGGCGAAACAAATAACATAGGGGAACATCTTGCTGGCATCTCGATAGCTATTTGGTTGAGTTTAAGTGGCGTTAAGCTCTTCAAACAGATAATCCTTTCTATAGGCAAAGTAGGGGGCGGGCTTAGAAACTAAGTTTTATCTGTAGCCTTCACAGTTTTTTTTAATCATATTTTAGTTTAAAATATTAAGATACAATTGTAGCCCCTCCCCACCACAGAAAAATGTCCCTAGTTGCGCCTAAAAACTAATCATCACAGTCACAACATTTTCCACCTCGGGTGAATTATTAATTTTATCAATTATATGAAATACTAGCTGATTCCGTGCACTTCGTTGCCCGTTAAATGTATCAACTCAATATGACTCAAACTTTGTTCAATTCGTTATTGAATATTCGGTGTATGGTGTTCAAAATTTATCTTATCTTTTCCGTTACCCGGAATAAAAATTCTGAATCGCAGCAGTACATTATCAGGTAAGCAATCTACCTGCGGTAGATCGCGGACCCCGTGCTGTTTGTACGGAAGTGTATGATTTAACTCTAAAGTATCAAAGTTATACCAAGTTTGTCGTTTTTACTTAATTCTGCCTACTGTTGTATTATAATAATGCGCGATGCATGAGATTATTTTTATCGATAAACTTCTCGGAACAATTTCATTCTCGGAATCATTATTCTTATCTACACGACGACGAACAAAAAGGATAGGTTGCAGGTAGCTGGAAACCCGCGGGCCACCGTGCCGCACAATACGTATTGGCAGTGAATAATTATAATCGTTAATTACTCCACTAAAAAGCAACATTTTTGAAAATCCTTTCTTATTGCAAGGTGAAAGTATGAGAAGAACCTCTATTTCAAATTTCAAGTCCGTACGTTGAGTAGTTTTGAGATACAGCGATCAGTGAGTCAGTGGTATTTGGATTTTATATGTATAGATAACTAATTATTGACTAATATTATCGGACTTTATTTATGCCTAAAACCTGCTCCGTGATATCCTCTTTCATTTAAAAAAAAACTGCATGACAATTGGATAAGAAGTTTTGAAGCCAAACCGTAACAAAGATTTCCTCTTTTGCTTGGTTTCAGTTTTATATATTATATAGATTATTTTATTTTTAATATTATATTATAAGTTTTAACTATTGTTGGTAGTCGCGATAACCAATAAATACTTGAACAAATATTAATATCTTAAAGTCTAAACACAATTTTAAGTACCTATTTAGACTTTCTAAATTTTAACTTAGATCTAGAATAAAATATTATACCTTCAGTAATCGGTATATCCTTCTTAATAGGTTCTTGAATTTCTTTTATATCCACATTATGATTTGTAGGTTCATCTTGATGTTGAATTTTAGGTTGTTCTGTCAATATTTGGTTTTGGTTGTACGGAGGTTGAGTTCTAGACACATTATTACTGGGAGGTAGTACAGTAGGAGCCGAATTTTGTACCGGAGCAGTAACAGTTGGCTAGAAATATTATATACATTGTTATAATATTTTTAAATGTCTACTAAACAAATAAACTAAATAAAAATGTATGAAATATTTTAATAATAATCAGCTCATATAATCTGTAGCTTTTTTAATTTAAGATTAATTTTCTCAATTAAATTTTTTTTGCAAAATGTAGTTTTATAAATTTAAAAATATTTAGAATTTAATTTAAACTGAAAATACTGGTCAATTAATATCAACTTTAAAAATTATTTTTTTTTTTAATAAAAATAAAAACGTATAAGTATTCTACTTTGAATATATTTTAGAGTGTTGGAAAAATAAATATGAAACTATAAAATTACTGACAAAAATGCCAAATGAAGGAAAGTTGGAATTCTGTAGTATGTATGTAGAAAGTTTTAAAATAATCATGCTAATTTAAAGTTAAGTTCTTATGTATAGTGTTCCACACTTCTACAAAAACTTTCACTTCAATCTAAAAATAATAAAAAATAGATATCTAAACAACCCCCAGTCAAGTATCACTAAAGGACTTATTACTAAAATAATTCATGTATATATTTATAAACCACATATTTGTGCTATAATAACAAAGATTGTGTATAATTTTATAATAATATAAAAAAAAAGAAATATTATGTTCCCAACTTACAATATGTTGTTGAACTTGAACAGGGATTTGCTCAGGCAGCAACTGCTGTACTGGTACCGAAGTAGGTATGACATTCAAAGCAACCCCATTTAAAGTCTGTCCTTGAGTTGTAGTATTGTAATAATTTACTTGATGCTGAGGTTGTTGAGTGACAGGAGATTGCTCAACTTCCCCGTTTTCTTCACCATCTGATTGTCCAGAATCTGCTTCATCATTCACATCATCTTCATTAAACATCACATCCTAGAACATATCACAATATTTTTATTAAGGAACCACAATATTTATTGCTTAGTTGTATGCTTAAATACCTGATAACGAAAAATGTCATTATGAACATAATACTTCTTAGGGGACTGCGCCGCCAATACAAATGTTTGAGCAAAACGACGCATTGGTTGCCCACAGTTAGATAATTCACCAGTGACATGGACAACCACACCATTTCCAAGAGTATTCTGGGAATCAACTTGTAAGATCTTAGCATGACAGTCGCGAAAATTCAATTCTTGAACTCGTTTATGAATATCTTTTTGGCCAATACTGGGAGTCATGTCCCTGCTGTATGGTTCCAAACCTCCATGAACAAAATATGAATCGCTACTATAGAATCTAAACAAATATCACAGTATCTTATTATTATTATAGTCAAGTATAACATGATTCTATTTATAGATTAACAAGAATTAAAAGTTGACTGGGAATTATAAAGCGGTGAACAAAGTTCAGATAATTATTTAATATCTAGTGCATAGGTATCAAGAAAATGTATAGAAACAAATCACAAAAATTATTTAATATAGGTTAGGTTATATACAATTGAAATCTTATGAACGAGAATAATTTGAAAACAATTAGGTATTTAGGGATTTGAAATTTCTAATAACATGTTGTTCAAGGACTTAAAATACATGTTTGTATTTTCAGTTAATTTGTTAATATATTTTTTCATAATAAAAGAATAAAACTATAATAATACATTGTGTTTTTAAGTGTACATAATTAAGCATTGTTATAAAATACCTAACCCTATAGTCCAGACTTGGGTAAAATTATTTTTTAAAAGTATTTCAAATACATATTCGAATACTTTATGATACTAATATTCCTAAGTATTTGGAATACTCCATAAAAAGTATTTTTAGTAGATTAAGATTTCAATAACAAAAATATTATTTTTTCAATTCTGTGTTTATAAATGAACATTACTATAATCTCGATAATACACACCTATTTGGCTATCTATTAGTTATAAATTATATTCAAATTAATAAAATTAATAAGTAATAATTAGTAATATATAAGAGTATACCTATATGCTATATAAGAAAAAAAGTATTCCGAAGACTACCCAAGTCTGCCATATACATATATTCAGTAAAAATAAGATATTTTTTTTAATAATTACCTATGCATGTAATGAGGGGATTGATTCAACATGGTATAATATTGACGGACAAATTCACGTCCCACACTCTGTGGGTTTGGGCAACTGTCAGCAACCATTTCTATCAATTGATATTAAGGTACTCAAAGGTAGTTGAGCATCAAAACTTAACCAAGAAACCTAAAAAAAAAAAAACATTAAACATTTAGTCAATTAAATCTGTATAAAATAAGACATTTTAGTAAATATTTTTTATTATTATTTTCTATACTCTGTGCCACCTAATCTAACCAGAGAAGTAACCTGTGTCCAGACCAAATCGAGTTGAAATCCGATTTACAAGTCGACATTGCACGATCCCGGTCGTAAACGTTATATAGTAATACTAATAGTATGTATCATGTTGTAAAGTAGGAGGAAACGGGGCCTCGAAACGGTCGCTGCTGAGCATTGAAGAGCAGTATATTTGTATAGCAGTCAGCGTTTATTCTCTGGATTATAATCAACTGGCCAACGATATGTAATGACACATTTTTAGTTTCTATGTCTTAAGTATGATGTTATGGTATTTTGAAATTATTAAGATATTTAATGTGTAACACTCATTTTTACTAACTTAACATTTTAATTTTATTGTTTATATAAGTTGGTATGCTTATTATTAATAGTAGTCAATTATCAAAGGAAAAATAGGTATATTCTCAGTAGAACTTCAGAGGGACGCCATACCTGGATGCCTCGTCTCCGTCTTAAAAACACATAACATGGAAAATTGTAGGTTCTGAATAATTCATATAACTCTGTATAATTTTAGAGTGAATTTCCCTATTGTCAAATTTAGAAGTAAGAATAATATCAAAAGAAAGAAGTTTTTTTTTTATATTTCAATTTTAAAGCGAGTTATGAGCATTTTAAAATGTACAAATAATTTACAATTACGAAGAATACTACTGTTGAATAATATTAATTACAATTATTAAAATATATGATATTTGATACCTATTTGAATTATAGTGATTCTTGAAGGATTAAAAATTGAAATCACCAACAACACTTTTATACTACCTAATATATGTATACTTCGTTCCTCGAGAGAATATGGTTACCTGCACATACAACTAGTGCTGAGGAATTGGAATTTGGGTGGTTTGTTCGCAACCACATTCTCACAGCAAGCAAAGTATAAGACATAGACATACATACTTCATCAAATGTTATTATGACACCTACTGCCATAAAACAGGGTTAAAAAAACTCATTTTTTTTTTTTAATAAACCCAATCCGGTCAGGTTACAATAGGTTATAATCAGTTTATAATGATTTTTTCTTATGAAGTATCAACATTTGCTTAATACTTGTTGTACTTTATTATGAGGCTATTATATTAAAAAAAATTATAAATTATAAATTATAATATTTGGGTAATATTTTTGCTTATATTATATTTAATATTGTATAAAAGGTATGAAATATAGAAAAAACTCTTAAAAATAAAATGTATTTTAATATAAAAATTAATACAGTAATTTTTGTATTTTGATAATTTAGTTTTTGTTTTTTGTGGTTTTTACCGGGTTGGGACCCAGTACTTCAAACCCGGCCATAATGATACCCAATGAATTTATTTTATACTTTGTCTACATAACCATTGTGCAGAAACCAAACCTAGTATTTTCCACTACCTACAACACAACCTACTGAAGTGATCTAACCATTAATATCTTTTAATAAAATAAACGCAGTTATACCTATTCTCTGTGTACTGTTCCCTGTGTCTTATATGCTATACAAATGAATGCATAAAATGTAATTTATTTATTATAAATATGTTTTTATGGTAGTATTAGTAAATATTTTGAATCCAGCCTCATATCATAAATGAATCGGTCATTTCTCCACATATTTTCAAAACTAGTTTTATGTGACAGATGTGTTTAACTAAAAATAATGCATATTTCCTGAGATACATTTATACAATATACAATTTATCAGTCACAAGGTCATAATCAATGAAAATTTACAATCCATTGGAAAAGGTCACATCTCCAACACGTTCATTCCCTCATAAAATAATCCAGTAGGTATAAATAATCAATATTATATCATAGTTGGTTTTTTTATAAGGGCATTAAATAATTCAACCGTTATTCAATTTTGATTTTTAAAAATAGGGTTTTTACGTTTCCCGGAAATTTTAATTTTATGGAGATATGGCCTTTTCAAAATGATCCAATTCAAATAACTTCAGAGGATTTATTTTCTTTCTTTGACCCATGTGCACATAGAAAATTTGTGTTCTGCAAACCAACCATGTGTTTTTAACTTTGGTAGGTATAAATCTATTTTACCGGACACCTTTTTTTTTTTTTTTTTTTTCAAAATACGTGGTTTTAATGCTGAATTCAAGTGTTTGAAAAAATTTCTGGAAACTTACAGTTCAAAAGTTATGGCAATTCAAAGTTGTCGATATTATAAAATATGCTAAATAACTAACTTTTTCTTAAATTCATGAACATAAATTTTGGAAATATTGAGGAAAACCCGAGGGAAAACCAGAGTTCCCCTAAGTTGGTTTTACACAACAAGTCTAGGGATATTTTTGATTTTCAGAGCGAAGCGACGGTGCCGTTGAGCGTAGCGTCGATTGCCGGTACACTCGTAATCACTGAAACTTTCAATTTCCATAACTTTTGAACGGTAAGTTTTCGGAATTTTTTCAAACACTTTTGAATTCAACATAAAAAACTACGTATTTTGAAGAAAAAAAAGGGTGTACGCTTTAGTACCAATTAGAGTGATTTGACCTAATATCAACTTAGTTAAGATTAGGTATCTGTGTGGTTCAGTTTTGATTTTTTCTTATTTCAATTTTTAATGCAAATGATGGTACAAGGTAGGTTAATACCTAAGTAAAATGTTACAATTAAAAAAGGAAAAATGTCTGTAAGAGCTTTAAAAAAAGTATCATAAACGGAAGAAGGCAGATGCTCTTAACTTTAAGTTTAGGTCATTTAAATACTAAAGCTAACAACAATACAAGATTAGTTCTGCTGAATGTAAATTTGGTATGTTGCTTATGGGAAAACCCCTTAGAAAACAAATAGGTAGTGAACTGACATCCTCTTAACCACAGTTGACTAAGGCATATAAAAAAAAATCCGGATCATAGTTAACAGAGATATTTATTATATTATATAGTTTATATTCTGCTTTGTAGGTTTGTATTATAAAGAATAAAGATAGTCTTTAGTAGTTAAATAGGTGCATAAATAACTGAAATACCCTAATAAATTTGTAACAGAGATTTTAACAAACTAATTCCTAATTAGGTACCTAACTTGATTTAAAATTTGTACTTCTGAAATTATTTGGCTAGTGAAATTCCTAATGTAAAGCCATTGCAGATAAATAATATCAATAAACTCCAAAAAAAAATTCAAGAATTATTTGAACATCATGCATTATTAAACTAAACAGTTTTATATTTATTATTTTAGTATAATCTATGGATATTTATTGATAGCCACAGCCAAGGTATAACAAATAGTTTGTGGTCACTGAAATATCCATTGAATATTTGCCTTTCTAAAGGCTATTCATAATAAGTATTTTATATAAAATATCACAACAATAATAACTATAATGATATAATACTATGTAATTAATAAAATGTAATTTATTAAAATTACTAAATACCTAATTAGGTACTGGGATGTTGATTTCATTATAAATGGTTTTGATATTAATTTATAGGATTAGGAGGCATAATATGTATATCAATACATTTAATAGTATTTTAACCATGGTATGCACTATGAATCATTAATGTGTTGTCATTCAAATTGATTATCAACATTTAAAAGTACATTCAGAAAATCAGAAATGCATGTAGGTTTAGTGTTCACCAATAATACAAACATTTTGTAGAAATCAGACCGCAAATAGGTAAAGTAACAAAAATAAGATAATTATAGCAATTGTTGCAGGTATGGGAGAGAAAAATGTTGTTAGTGCCAGTTTTGAGCATGCCTAAAAATAATATCAAAAGAGATAGATAAATTGATGAATACGTATGATAAGGTCTGGGTGACGCTAAATCAACAATGACAATTCATGTGATGTACAGAACAACGAGAAACTGTTTAGAGTAACAATACTGAGCAATGTCCTGATTGGTTTGAACCCGGCGAACTCAAAAGGACGTTCTTAAGCACGGATGGCGCAGGGAGGAGGCGGCGGTCATTGAACAACAACAAATTGAAAAAGCGGTTTCACCTGTCGGCAAGTAGGAACTGTAAGCGATGGTAAACATGCGGTCGTCGACGGACGGCGGCCGCGAATCAAAGGTCCGCGGCGCACATGTGCCCACCGGACGACGATGCCAAAAATGCAACAATAACAACAATAATAATAGTAATAATAACAACTAAACGACGGAAACTACATAGGTACTTACGGTTTATTTTAAACGGAACAGACGGCGGCGTGTGTTCGTAAACGTGCGCCAAACCAATCGAAAAACTGGGAAAATTTCTGAGACGACTACGGCGACGCAGACTACAACAAACTGAGGTGTCTTACGCGCGTGGAGCGATGACTATGCGAGAATCAGTGAGAACTATGGAGTATAATAATTTTGGATTGCGGCGATCTGTAGTATTCGCAGAACAAGCGTGATCTTGACGTCGGACTTGAAAACCAATGAGCGGACACCGTTCGCCGTGCTTGCTTGTGCGACGGGCGCGAAAAGCGAAAAGATAATTTGTAAGTGAAAAGATAGCGACGGCGTTACGAGCTGCTGAGGTTGGATTGGTGGCTCCTTCGGCTTTCCCGTGAAGAAATCAACACAAAAAGAAAAAAAATAATAAGAGAATAGAAATCCCTTAGCGACGTCGCGGTCGTCAGCCGTCGGTCCGGGTCGCCGGTACCGCCACCCGGCCCTCACCCAACATGGAGCCGCAGTGCGTCCAACACACTGGATAGCCGGTACCAACTGATCATTCATCATCGGCGGCGGACGACGCGGTATTTAAATTCGTAAAATAAAATAATAATAGGTAATAGGCCATAGGCGTAGATGTGCAGTATTTACAATATTTTATATTTATAAACCATAGT